CCTCTATTTCATGTCGAATTCTTAGGATTTATCTTCATCATTAAAAAGGATCTCCCCCTTGAATTCTAATTAATCTTTAATTTTCGTAGTCCAGGAAAGGAAAGAAAAACTTGAATTTAAGGTAAACAAAATCCGTAGTCATTTAACAGAATTATAAGAACAGTTCCCTAATTCACTTTACTCTTAATTATTTTGTACCGATGGCATTAGAATTAGATTAAGTTCGAGAGGTGACAGCGGAATCTGTCCCGTACATCGCGTAGGACAGAAAAGGAACGGCGTTGCCGGTAACTGTGTTTGCACATCCGACGTGGCGTGTGAAACGATCGCAAAGGGACCGATGCAACAAGAGCCTGGGAGTGCCTTTTTAATGTCACGGAAGGAGTTACCTTTAAGTATCGCCGATGTCGAATCGCATGATTCGTTAGATTGGGGGAGAGTCCGACAATGGGAGAACGAGCGAATATGGCCATTGTCTTATTACATCATTTTTTTTCCTCAGCTATGCGACTTTTCCAGCTTAGGTGCGCCCGTCGAATAAAAACCATATTTATAGTTCTCTGCGATTTCCATCAGTTTCCAACAGTAACAGCCTCGAATTTTCGAGCACGAAAAATTCAATCGGTACGATTCAATTGCCTGTTCTCTGCCGCAACAGATTTCCCATAAGAGATGAAAACATTTCCCATAAGAAATTCCGTTTTTATTTCATAAGATCCTCCTCATTGTTACGAGATGACAATCTATTAATAACGACGAGTTACGTGGCATTATCAATTAGGGTGCATATTAATTGTGCGCGGCTAACGAAACACGACGTTCCTCTTCCGCCGTTTGAAATACAGTGAGAATCCAGTGGCGGCGAGCTCCACCGACCCGATTTCGCATAATTAAATAGTTATACGGTCCGCTGGGGGTTTCATTAATCTCGCGTAATTAACAAGACGTCTTACCGACGTCTGACTTATCTCCTTATCGAATCAGCCAGACCAGATCTCCACCGAGGATGAAACCCAGCCGGTCGATAGACCGTCGAGCATTCTCCACGATCATTTAATCGTCGAGCATTTTATTATTACAGTCGTCCACTTAGCATATAACTCAATCATATAAAATTTCTATGACGATCGATAAACGAGAGACTAGAAGAAAAAAAATTACAAGTGAATTTGTAATAGAGGGGGTGAAGACTATTCGATTGACCTTAGCCAGCCGCTCATCATTGCACGTACTGGTCGCTCGATTTGCATAAGACCGGAGTAGGTATCGAGCGAGCGAGGTCGAATCCCAAGCAACATGTGCTCCGTTCGACAGGACAGAGCCGAGGCTCTTGGTTTACGACTTACGACCGCGATCCCACTGACACACGTTCCCCCTCACGTATACGTATGCACGTGAAACCCGCCCTCCCTCTCTTGCTTGTAAATTTTATTCGCGTCCTACAAAGATCAAATTAGCCTCGGTTACATACACATGCACCGTGAAACCGTTTTACCTTTTCAAACGAAAGCCTGGACTACATATCTCTTCTTCGGCATCCTTGAACAGATGAGCATTCCAGTTAATTAAATCCTGCTCACCGTACCGATTACTACACCGCTCTGACAATTTTTTTTTTTTCAGAGATCACAGAAAGTAAAAGACGGATCAATAAAATTAAGATCATTGTATATTCCTATTGAGGTTTTATGTTAATAACGATATATACTTCTTAAGAGTATGTTGATCTTAACATATATCGTGACTTATTATTCTAAAGTGCAAGTTGTGACTCGATCCAGTTCATTACATCGACTGACTCGCATGTAGGGAGTTTTTGATGGGTAAATGTCTCAAAACCCATCTTTTTCTCTCTCGCTTAACCATAATGGCATTGATAACTAATGTATCTCTTGATATCCCTGGGTATTCTCACCAAATAGTTCTCTGGACATTTACACGTTCAACCGCGAGACTCCCATACTATGGGCAACGGTTAATATAACTCTGCATTGGCATATCTTTTTCTGTTGTATTTTTATAAGCCTCATATACGTCTACTATTGTACGATTATTGTAAGACTAAATAAAAACCACAATCTTTAAAAAAAAAAAAAACTGACTCGCATGTATTGGAACAACGCGGCACTACTCGCGCTATGCGATACTATACCCAACAATTATTAAATATGTGTAGTTTAAGAATGTATTGGCTATACAGTCAATCCTAAAAGTTTATGTACTTTAGAAAAGCGCATTTCCTATAATTAAAAAGAAATCAGACGTCGGAAGAATAATGCTAATAATAAATAGCTACGTGCTAACAAGTATAGAAGGAAATATTCAATTAATTATTGACGCTGGCGGAAAGATTTTTATACAGGAATTATAAGCCCTGGCGTCCTCAACAAGAAAGATTCTATGAATTTTTCTTCTAACTTCGATATGTAACAAGTTACATATGATTATTTGGCATTTTATTGATGTTGACAAAATCCGACCATCCCAGCGTCGAAACGGCGAACTTTTGGAAAAAATTTTCGTTTTTCCTCAATAACTCCTAAACTGTTGGACCTACGGGAAAATTGTATAGGACCTTTCTTGTAGAGGACGACGA